GTTTATTGTGTCTCATATGAGTTTTGCTACCCCCACTTTCTTGTTGTTTCTATTTGCATGGAAATATCTTTTTCCATTCCCTTACTTTTAGTCTACGTGTCTTTCACCCTCAAGTGTCTTTCATAGGCAGAATATTGTAGTTCTTTTTTTTTTTTAAATCCAATCTGCCACTCTGTCTTTCCATTGGAGCTTTTAGTCCATTGACAAAGTTATTATTAATAGGTATGTACTCATTGCCATTTTAATCCATGTTTTTCAGTTGTTTTTGTAGTTCTTTGTTCATTTCTTCTTTTGGTTTTTCCTTTGTGGTTTGATTATTTTCTTTTATAGTATGCTTGAGTTCCTTTCTTACTAATTTTTGTGAATCTATTGTATATTTTTTATTTGTGGTTACCCTGGTTTTCAAGTATGTTGACCCATAACTATATCTACTTGCTTTAAACTGGAAATCATACTAGTTCAAATACATTCTAAAAGATCTACATTTTTATAATCCCCTCCCGACATTTTATGACTTTGTCCTATTTTACATTTTTGTGCTTATCTTCTTACTGTGATTTGTATTTATAATTTTAAAAAATTTAAATCTCTACTGGCTTATTTAAGTGATCTTCAGTCCTTTTATATATACCTTTCCTATTGTGATTTTCCTTTTCTATAGATTCTTGCTTCTTTTCTATTTAGAGAAGACCCTTCAGTATTCCTTTTGGAGTAGGTTCAATATTGCTGAATTCTTTTAGTTTTTACTTGCCTGAGAAACTCTTTATCTCTCCGTCTATACTAAATGATAATTTTGCTGGCTATAGTATCCTAGGTTGAAAGTTTTTCCCTTTCTGGACTTTGAATATATTATGCCACTCCTTCTGGCCTGCAAAGTTTCTATAGAGAAATCATCTGACAGCCTTATGGAGGTTCCCTTGTAATTGACTCTTTGTTTTTCTCTTGCTGCATTTAGAATCCTCTCCTTAACTTTTGCCATTTTAAGTATGATATGTCTTGATGTGAATCTGTTTGGGTTCATCTTGTTTGGGATCCTCAGTACTTTCTGTATCTGGATTTCTGTTTCCTTCTTAGGTTTGGAAAATTTTAAGCCACAATTTCTTCAAATACATTTTCAATCCCCTTTTCTCTTTCTTCTCCTTCTGGAATCCCTATTATGTGAAGGTTGGCACGTTTCCTATTGTCCCATAGATCTTGTATGTTGCCTTCACTTCTTTTTTTTCATTTGCCTTTCTGTCTCCTCTTCTGATTGGTTGATTTCCATTATTCTATCTTCCAGATCACTTATTCATTCTTCTATGTCATTTAGTCTGCTATTCACTGCTTCTGGATTGGATTTTTATCTTGGCAATTGAATTGTCTATTTTTGATTGGTTTATCTTTATAATTTCTAGGTCCTTGTTACAGTGACCTGCATTTCTGTTGATAATTTTTTTAAATTCAGTTAGCATTTTTATTGCCTCCTTTTTTATTGAAGTATAGTTGATTTACAATGTTGTGTTAATTACTGCTGTACAGCAGAGTGATTGTTATACATAGATATACATTCTTTCTTATATATTCTTTTCCATTATGGTTTACAATAGGATATTGATTATAGTTCTCTGGGCTATACAGTAGGACTTTGTTGTTTATCCATTCTACATGTAAAAGCTTACATCTCTAACCTCAACCTTCCACTCCATACCTCCACCAACCCCCTCCCCCTTGGCAACCACCAGTTTGTTCTCTATGTCCGTGAGTCTGTTCCATAGATAGGTTCATCTGTGTCATATTTTAGATTCCACATATAAATGGTATCATATGGTATTTGTCTTTTTCTTCCTGACTTACTTCACTTAGTATGATCATCTCTAGTTGCATCCATGTTGCTGCAAATGATATTATTTTGTTCTTTTTTATGGCTGAGTAGTATTCCATTGTGTGTGTGTGTGTGTGTGTGTGTGTGTGTGTGTGTGTGTACATCACATCTTCTTTATCCATTCATCTGTCGATGGACATTTAGGTTGTTTCCATATCTTGGTTATTGAAAATAGTGCTGCTATGAACATAGGGGTGCCTGTATCTTTTTGAGTTGTAATTTTGTCCAGATATATGCCCAGGAGTGGAGTTGCTGGATCATATGGTAATCCTATTTTTAGTTTTCTAAGCAACCTCCATACTGTTCTCCATAGTGGCTGCACCAACTTACATTTCCACCAACAGTGTAAGAGTGTTCCCTTTTCTCCACACCCTTTCCAGCATTTGTTATTGGTAGACTTTTTAATGATGGCCGGCCATTCTGATTGGTGTGAGGTGGCACCACATTGTAGTTTTGATTTGTATTTCTCTAATAAGCAGCAATGTTGAGTATTTTTTCATGTGCTTATTGGCCATCTGTATGTCTTCTTAGGTGAAATGTCTATTAAGGTCTTATGCCCATTTTTCGATTGGGTTATTTGTTTTTTCATTATTGAATTATAGGAGCTGTTTGTATATTTTGGAAATTAAGCCCATGTCAGTTGCATTGTTTGCAAATATTTTCTCCCATTCTGTAGGTTGTCCTTTCATTTTGTATATGGTTTCCTTTGCTGTGCAAAAGCTTGTAAGTTTGATTAGGTCCCATTTGTTTATTTTTGTTTTTAGTTCTATTGGGAGACTGACCTAAGAAAACATTGGTACGATTTATGTCAGAGAATGTTTTGCCTATGTTCTACTCTAGGAGTGTTATGGTGTTATGTCTTATGTTTAAGTCTTTAAGGCATTTTGAGTTTATTTTTGTGTATGGTAAGAAGGTGTGTTCTAACTTCATTGATTTACATGCAGCTCTCCAACTTTCCCAGCACCACTTGCTGAAGAGACTGTCTTTTTCCCATTGTATATTCCTGCCTCCTTTGTCAAAGATTAATTGACCATGGGTGTGTGGGTTTATTTCTGGGCTCTCTATTTTGTTCCATTGATCCATGTGTCTGTTTTTGTGCGAATACCATGCAGTTTTGATTACTGTCAGTTTGTAGTATTGTCTGAAGTCTGGGAGGGTTATGCTTCCAGCTTTGTTCTTTTTCCTCAGAGTTGCTTTGGCAATTCTGGGTCTTTTGTGGTTCCATCTAAATGTTAGGATTATTTGTCCTAATTATGTGAAAAATGTCATGGGTAATTTGATAGGGATCACATTAAATCTGTAGATTGCTTTGGGTAATATGGCCATTTCAACAATATTAATTCTTCCAATCAGAGAGCATGGGATATCTTTCCATTTCTTTGAATCATCTTCAATTTACTTTATTAATGTTTTATAGTTCTCAGAGTAGAAGTCTTTCACCTCCTTGGTGAGGTTTATTCCTAAGTAGTTTGTTTTTTGGGTTGTGATTTTAAAAGTTATAGCTGTTTATGTATTCCCTTTCTGATATTTCATTGTTGGTGTAAAGAAATGCAACCAATTTCTGTATGTTAATCTTATATCCTGCTAACTTGCTGAATATGTTTATCAGTTCTAGTAGTTTTTGTGTGGCATCTTTAGGGTTTTCTATATATAGTATCATATCATCTGCATATAATGACAATTTTACATCTTCCCTTCCAATTTGAATACCTTTTATTTCTTTTTCTTGTCTGGTTGCTGTGGCTAGGGCTTCTAATACTATGTTGAATAGAAGAGGTTAGTGGGCATCCTTGTCTTGTTCCAGATTTTAGTGGGAAGGCTTTCAGCTTTTCACCATTGACTATTATATTGGCTGTGGGTTTGTCATAAATAACTTTTCTTGAGTTTATTACCTCCTTTTTGAATTCCAGGTCTAGTAGACTGGTGAGGTCTGTTTCATTATTTGTTCTTTCAGGAGAATTCTCGTTTTTTTAATTGGGAGTAGGTCCTCTTCCTTTTCATTTTACTTAAATTTCTCTGTCTCTATGATTTTAGGAGAAACAGTTATCTACTGTGATCTTGAATGGCTGTGTTTATTTGGGAGTGTCCCTGTGTAGCTTCCATGAGTCTAATATTTTTGGTGTGAGGGCTAGTTTCAGGATGAATGCCAGCCATGCTTTTTCTCAGTGTGTGCTGGCCATTATCCCCTTGACAGCAGGGTGTGGATGGTGGTGTAGTATCTAGAGCCTGTGCTGGATGTGAGGTGGGGGTCCCTCTCTGCTCCATGTCATGGCCCTGTCAGGGGCAGGGTGTGCTCCCCAGTTGGAGTAGAAGCCTTGAGGGCTGGGTTTGATCAGCCTCTGTTTTCCTTGAGTACATGCCCTGCCCCAAAGGAAGTGAGTGTTGAAGAAAGTGAGGCCTGTGTGGTTACAGAGGACCTATGTTCCACCTGTGTAGGCATCTGCAGCTCCACTCAGAGGCAGCCCAAGATTGTGTCCCCATTGTGTTTATCCCAGATCTAGTGTAAGACTATGGCATGGCGTGGGCTGGGCCTCGAGGTTGGGGGGTTGTGGCTGCAGGGACTGAGGTGGCTACGCTGCCACCTGAGATCTGGGCTGCCTCTGTGGCAGACCTCACCCAGGACCTCTCTGCCCCAGATCTAGTGCTGAGCTGGAAGACAAACCACTGTGTACTCCTGAGCATGTTCACAATGGCCGTTGCAGCCCCAACTGGACCACACCCCAGGCCCTCTGGGCCGTTTCTGCCTAGCTCGATCATACCCTCTCCCATGGCCTGTCTGCTCAAGATTCATTGCTTGGCCCTTGCACACTCCTGTTGTGCCACCGTGGACACACACTAATGTTTGCTGCATTTACACCTGTTGCCCTGAGCCCTTGCTGACTGTGGCATCTGAGGCTACTCCTAGATCACACCCCAGATATCCTGGTCTGTCTCTGCACGACTAGATCTAGTCTCTGGCAAGATTTTGTGCCAGCTTGTGGTGTGGAGTGAGTGGGGCCAGGGCATTTGCCCCTTTGGACTGGGAAATACACCAAGGGGGCTGCTCCCAGTGCAACACTCTCTGCCCTGATTGTCAGCAAGCCAGCATGCACTGCTGCTGAGTAGAGTCTAGTCTTCTCCAACCCTTCTGTCTCAACAGACTTCCCAAGAGGCAAGGGGGCCTGGCCACTCCATGCAGGACCCCAGGACTGGGATGCCCATATTGTGACTCAACCTGCTCACTCCCCAGGGCAAGGATCTACCCTTGTGGACCTTCTCCTTGCAGATCCCACCAAGGAGCCCAGGAGCTGACCCAGGTCTTCTTCTTTTTCCCCTTCCTACCCAATTAATTACATGTAGATCTTTCTTGCAGCTTTGGTTTCTAGTTCTGTCACTTTTCAAGGAGGAGTGCTCCATATGTAGATGTATTTTTGATATGTCTGTTGGGGAGAGGAGCTCCATATCCACCTACTCCACCATTTTGATTCTGCTTCAGACAGTTAGCTTTTTAATGACAGTCTGTCTTTCCTGTTTTTACACACTCACCCTGAGGACTGGTATAGAAATTAGAAACTAAGCAGGTGAAGAAAACTTTATTTCTTTATACATATTTTGCTTTAATAGCCACCAAAAAGACTGTTTCATTTCCTCCCACTGACCCTGTCCACCAGTTATGTTAGCCTTCAACATATCGCTATAGCAACATATATAAATATATATCATACATTTATACACACATACACACATTCTAAAGCACTGTGAAGACACAGACTAGGCTTTAGCAACTGGGAGTTCCTCACATGTCACTTAAAAATGATCACTGATTTGCTTTACACAAGACTTCCAATGGGCTTGGTGTGGCCATTAGTCCCTAGTTCCCAGAGAGAAGTTGGGATGACAAAATGGGACAGCATATTTAGAGTAAGGTCAGTACATTTTTTGGAGATCATAATAGAATAGAAATAGGAGGTCTAGGCTAAGCATGAGATGGCATCTGGGAATCACTGCTCTCACCACGTGGATTCAAATAACTCAGGTGCTGCAGTGTAGACCAATCCCCAGCCTGACTGTGACCCAGCTCGCTGGCCCAGGTTAGGTCTGCCAACACTGTCCTGCAGGGCACCGCTGCTCAGTCCTGTGCTTTTAGATCTGCTGTGGAGCTCCAGTGTGGGGCTCCATTGCTAGGAAGCAGGTCCTATTTCCCCTGAGTTGACCCTCAGAGGATGAGGTGAGAAATGTGCTGTTGCTGGTTCCCATACCCCTGGGGCATTCAAAAGCAGTGTCACAAGGTCTTCTACAAACTATGCCTGTTTTGCTTAGTGCTGGGTCCAGTGGACCTTGGCTGGTTATTCCTCAATTGCAGGAGAGGCCCTCTGCCTTTCGCCCTGCCCCATCAGGCCACATCTCTGACTCCTTTCAGACCTTCCAGCAGGTGTGGAGGAGTGGGGCCCAGATCCTCCTCAGCAGACAGGGAGCTGCAAAGCAGGGGGGCAGGCCCACCCTTCCTGCAGTTTTAAGGACCTCTGGTGGCTTCGCTTCTTGCTTGGCTCCTGGAAGGCAAGGGTCACAGGACTGGAGTGCACGGCAGAGCCCTTAGGGATTTCACCTGCAGACGAAAATAACACAAAGTAAGAGTCCATTATCAGGCACTGCTGGTGGCTAACTGAGGCTGGAGAGAGATCTGAGTGGTAACAGAAGCCAGGAGCACAGTGAGAGGCTGTCACGAGGATGAGCTGAGGGGACGCGCTGAGGTCTGGAGGAGCAACTGGGGCCACCAGGTTAGAGGAAAAGCTTCCCACCACCTCCTGTGGTCATATCTCTGCTCAAAGCCACTGCACACCAGGTGGCCGGATCCTACCACTCCCTCTTCAGGGGCCAGTTCACTCTCCAATTCACTTTGGAGCAAAAGGATGGCTTTTGCAATCTCCCAGGAAAGGAAATGCTTAGTATGAAACAGGCATATATAGAAGCAGCCTGTTGTAGGAAGGAGAGGACATTTTGCAGGGACGTCCTCCTATTAAAGTTTATGTTCCGTTTACTTGATGAGGAGGGGGAGGGGCCAGGTCAGCAGGGACCTCAGAGATCATCTAACTCTAGTGCCGCCTCTTACAGATGAGGGTCAGCAGGCTCACAGAGACTGGGGCCAGCCAAAGCCACACAGCCACTTAGCGACAAGCCTGGGATTAGATCCCAGGCTTGGGGCCTTTCCAGTGGCCTAGGGGAAGTGGGAAGGATACTTCCAAACTGGGGAAGCCAGGAGGTATGAGAGGCTGTTGGGTTACCTTTGCTGAGGCAGGAATAAGGTTTTACAGAGGCAATCTTGTAAGTGTTCTTCTAAAAAGGCTCAGGAAAGAGAGGAATCATCAGAGAAAAACAGAAGAAATTAGCAAAACAGACAAACAAAACAGAGTTAAATTATGGCCCAACCCATTTTCATACTGTGGGGTCAACATTCTCTTAGGTTACAATTTAGGAACATTCCTAGGAATGTGCTTAATTGCTCATGGCAAAGCTTTAAAGTCCAAGGTAAAAGGTTTAGTTTTTGATTTTTAGGCCATTTCTAAGACCTCAAGTTTTTCATCAACGCGGTTGCTAGAGAATGTGTTAGTGTTTTAAATAAAAGTAGAGAAGGTCTGCCATAGAGATAATATCTTGCCCTTTATGTTTCAGTTTTTACTTATTACCAAATGCTCTTTCAGATCAATAAGACCCAAGGATTTTCTTTTGTGTTGTTGCTTAAAGAAAAAGAGATATCAAAATCAAATTGCTGTTTTCAGCCCAATAGTGTGCAGTGAAATCAACTTATTAGGTTGCATCTTTCCATTATTTTTCCATATAATGGTATAGGAAACCCCCAAACACCTGACAGGCCTCAGGATCCCTTTACTGAAAGCTCCTTCAGAGGCAGACCCCATATGTCCTCTGACCTCGAGAATCAACTGAACTGCATTTCTCCCCACTCCTGACCTGGCATAAAGGAGACAGAATTGGAATAAGGAGGGAAGATGATATAAGGGTAAGGGTCAACCGAGAAGTCAAGGGAGGTTTCTGATTGGGGTGGAGGGCTGATGAGGATGGAATCTAGAGGGATGCCCATGAGGACCCGAGCTCCCACAGATGGACCAGACATCTGCTCCTGGAAGGTCAGAGCAGGTCAAGGATCACCTGCACACTCTGATGACAGACGGTGATAAGTTTGGGGCGGGCTCTATGGCTCCAACTGGTGCAGTAGTTTCCTTACCTCCAAATTCGTCCTTGCCTTCTTCAAAACATCGTGTGTCCTGGTCACTGAAACGAGAAAGCAGCCCCCAAGGCAGAAATTACCAGTGGGCCCACGCTTGCGTTGGATTTGTGTTCTAAAGCTTGTCTTTCTGGACACTCAGCTCGGGGTCTCCTGCTGCCCCCCACCCCGTGTCCCCTCCTCTGCCTCCACGATTACTGATGGCACAGGAGGTTTAGAGACGTCACATCAGTCTCCCCCATCCCCTAACCTCTCTGGTCTCTGTCCATTCACAGCACAGGTGGCGGACCTGGAAGAACCCCCATTTCCTGTCCCATTCCCTGGCTGGGGGCACCCACACTGGCTGAAGATAAACTGTTCCATGCTCTCCTTCTGCTGGTTGGCGGTCTTCAGATGCTCAGCTGTGCTCTGAAGGAGACTCTCCTGTTTGGATAGTTTGGTTCTCAGTTCCAGAAGCTCCCTTTTCATGGACTCTCCCTGGGAAGCAAAACAGGCTCTCTGTCAACGGTCAGAAGGCCTAAAGCACCCTGTGTTCGGTGGCTCTTTAAACTCCAAATAGGATTCTACAATCTTCTCAAGTAGTTTTGGAGCAGATTTCCCTCATTAAAGCCTCTCAATCCCTCCAGCAGGTGGTGGCTCAGGATGGGCCATGAGGTGGGAGCACTGAGGACCTGGAAGCCCCGGTGCAGATTAGCAGAGGCTACACTCCTGTTGCTGCGGAGAACCTGACTCCAGGCCACACTGAAGCTCCCAGCTGTGAACAAGAGCTCAGATTTCGTGCTGACATAGTTATATCACTTGGGCATCACAAGTAAGACTTGGTCGTTGGGAATATTACGCCTGGATATCACGCCTGGGGAGACGGGGCTGGCCTGAGACAGTAAGTTTGTAAATATATCTGCCAACCACAAGATGGCAAAATGCTCCCTCCTTGGAATTAACATAATTGGGGCCGCTAAAGTGTCAGTGATCTTAGTCTGGAGTTGGAACCCCTGGGTGGGATCCTGAAACCTGCCTATCCAAGGTCACCAACCAGAAAGCAGTCTGAGATCTGAGAGCACCACGGGGAGGCTGACTCTCCCCAGGCCTGACCCTGTGACGCAGATGTGATTTTCTGGGATTCCAGGGGGTGGCTACAAGAGGCTGGGTGACTCCTGGTGACATTCTGTGATCCTGCCTATGTGGACCTGGAGGTGGGGGTGGGCTAGGAAGGGAAAGGAGATGTTGATGTTTTAACATGGTCCTGAACTTCAGCGCAGCCAAACTTCAGAAAGTTAAAGAAACGGAACATTTAGGGGTTACCAGGGCTCTCGTGTCTCTGCCTCCTCCATGTCCTTTCCTTCTGCTCTTTGATTACTTATCCTGGGGGTCAGGGCTGGGGGGAGAGGGGATGGAGTCAGAGCTGCACTGAAAGCAGCCACCGCGGAGGAGACGTCTCCCTCCAGGGACGCCCCCTCAGGTCCCCTTGGTCCCAGCTGCCCATTCGGCTCCTGACCTTCAGGATCTGCTGACCAAGGAGGCAGAAGGATATTTGGGGGCAGAACCAGTAGGGGATGCTGGCTTCTTACCGCTTTGCTGTCCAGCGCAGGGCCGTGGGAACTTGGCAAGGCTGCTCTCCAGAACATGGTGAGGAGGGAGGCCGCCTCCTCCAGTCGCTGGTGAAGGGCGTTGGCGCTGTTCCTGAGCTCGTGGATGCCTTCACTGCCCATCACCTGGGAAAAGGGAGAGGTAGCCATGGGCATCCCCGGGGCTGAGAGATCACTTTTTTTTTGCTGAGCATTGGCCTCAGCTTCCTTTGTGGGTGAGGCGTAGACACAGGCCTGCTTAAACCTGTGAAATCCTTTTCTAACCTGGAAGCCAAGGTTCTCTGACCTCAGCAGGGACCTCTCGATTTGCAAGAATTCATTTGATTCCAGCTTTCCCCACATTCTTTAGCTTCTAGTCCTGCTTCATGCTCCAGAGTCTAAGGTCCCTATTTTTGCACTGGCCCCCCTTGTCCTTCCGTAAATCACACCTTATGCTTCAAATGGACTGCACCACTTGTAGCTCGAAGGACTGAGGTGCCGCTCCCTTTACCTGGCATGTTCTCCCCCGAGAACTTACATATCCCCTGTTGGCACCCCCCCCCCCCATGAACCTGTTACTTTCCTTGCCTGGGATAACAGCTGATTCTGGGTTCATGCCCTCACACCCAGAGCCCTTGTAACCTTGTGCCTGGAGCCCCTGGTTATATTTATTTACTCAGGTGTGGGCATCCCTCTCTATCATGGGGGCCCCTGAGGGCAGGGCTGTTCCTGCATGCCTGTGCATCTCCAGTATCTCAGACAGCACAGCAGCCACTACCTGGATCTCTCCCTGAGGAAGGGCTCTGAGAAGCCTTGCTGCTTGCTCTCCCGCCTTGCTCAGTGTGAGCAGAGAAATTCCATGGCTGCCACCCTCCTCACCCCTTCCACATATTTGGCCCATATGGACGCAGATTCTCATTTTCCAGCCAATTGATTAAGTGATTTTATTCTGCCCACAGATGTTCATATGCCAGCATGACTTTAGCAGATAATAAGCTACCAAAGGGTACTCAGTACAGCATTGTGTGTATGTTGACGCTTAACGTGCTCTACTGATGAGGACGGCAATGCTGCACATGCTTTTCTGTGGTTCTGAGGGGAAATAGCAAGTCAGCTACATCTGGAACAGAGCAGAGCTTGTAGTGAAATTAACAGATGAAGATAAAAGGCCTAGCTGGATATAAATGGAAGATGTATCCTCAGCTGATGGGAGATGTGGAGCAGGAAAAAAAAAAATAGAGGGAGAAGAAGCTAAAATCAGAAGAAAGGGCCTAAGGAAAAGGTGCACCTAAAAGCTAAAATGTGATTACCTCTGTGCCTGGAGCTTCAAGGCCAGGGAAGTTGCAGGTTGATCTCATGAGTGACGCTATCTTCTTGACCAGCAGTCTGCCCTCCCCAATCTGCTGTCTTAGGGCACTGTAGTCATCAATGTGGCCAATGACATGGCGGCCATGCTTATTGGCAAAGGAGCCATCAGTAGCATCACCCTCCAGCTTGGGAGGGTTCTTCATTACTGGAGAAGCATCCAAACCCAGCTCTGAAGAATAAAACCACAATAACACAGAATCCACTGTTATACGTAATCATCCTCAGTTCAATCCAAAATGGACATCAAATAGTGAAAGAGGCCAGAAACAAGAATGACAGTCTTGGAAAGTACAAGTGTGAAGTCCATAGATATTCTGGGTTCTATATTTTTATAATCTTTCTTACATCATCTCATAATGATAAAATTGCCAGGAGGCAAATTTTATCCTTATTGACAAATGAAATATTCAGGACAAATTTAAAAAAAATTTAAATTTGGTGTTGAGAAGACACAGACAAGGAAATTAAGCTGGATACAGAGAGCACTTTCAAGAAGGAAGAGATTATAGTGCAATGAAGAAATACCAAAGCAATAGGAAAACCACAGGAGGAAGAATAATGACAAAAAAGGCAGCCACAGGAGGTGGCATGAGTAGGGCTAAAGGCCGTGGGACATGCAGAGAAAAATCTCTAAATTCAGATAATGTGCATATAGAGAACCAAAGGTTACTTGCTTTAGTCATTTTCCATCATTAGACCCTGAGTCCTGTAGTTGCCCTATTTACCATTTGTCCTATTGAAGGTTGTGGTCTCTGAGCCATGAGCAGCAGGAGAAGAGCTGGGGAAGACCAGAATTGAAGAATTCATGCCCACATCCCGAACTGGAGGGGAAGCAACTGAGTCTAGGGAGTAAAGATAACCACAACTTTAGGAACCCTGGAATATACTGCTCCTGAAACACATGCACAGCCTATCTTCACTACTGGAGATCTAAGGCAACATGACTCTCCTCTTACATAATCATCACCCAGGTACCACAGTCAAAACCAGTGGAAAACAAACCACTTAATTTGGAGCAAGATGTTCCTGTAATTGAATGCTGTTCCATGAGAAAGCAACTTCTAGTTTGAAAAATTATTAGATATATTTTTCTAACCCCTGATTTGAATATAATATTGTATGCAGTGTGTCTAATACAATGCTTTCTAACTAAATATAAATACGTATAAATATATGTAGTATATATGTTAAAAATATTTGATCAAAGAACGAATGGATTTATGGGCGATTAAACTCAGCACTCTAATCACCATTCTGATGAGTCAGTGCTGGAAAATATGTAGTAGTATAAGAAAGAGACATACTAGAAAGCATGTAGTAGTATAAGAAGAATAGGAGACATAAGCCTTGGTGAGTTTGAGATGCCCTATTGGAGACCAGGCAGCAATCCTCCAGGGGAGGTATTGGAAAATATCACGAAGAGACAGAAATGACCCTGCTCAGGCAAATGTGGCTTAGAACCTGCTTTCCACCTCAGGCCTCTGTGCTGTATGACGATGAGGAGGAGTGACTGAGCCAGTTCAGATGAGTCCTGGCTGGTGCTGTGGGGAGGCTCTGAGAGGGGAAAGCATGAGAGGAAAGAGAAGCAACACCAAGACAGAGTAGTGAGGTGGGAGGAACACAGAGAGCAGATCAAAACTTCTGCTTCGAATCTTCGATTGGCCTCTTAACTCCTGTAAACCTTAGCATGTCAGTTAATTGTCCCAGTGCCTACGTTTTCTCATGTAAAATACAGAGATAGTAAAATCTACCCTAGCTCTAATGAAATTATTTGAAAATTTGTTTGAAAACGTGGTAGATTTTAAAGCCCTCTGCAAATATAAAGAATAG